TTTATGGTGCCTACTCCAAGATTGGGAGTGTGATGCTCACTGTGGACTCACAGTTCACACCAACAAAGCCTCTATATCATACAGATCCTTTTGGCTGGAAGACACTAAGCGTCATAGTCAGCTGTGCAGCTACAAAGACCTGGGTGGCCCATAGAACAAACCGTTATCCCCTTGCTCAGATGCCTGTGGTCTGTGTGGGTCTTTCCAGCTCTTGGCTGTCTTCTTAGCCCCCTTGGTGTGGGCAGGGTGTGTTCTCAATAGAGGGCAAGAGGGCGAACAAGCTGAAGCCCCGAAACTCACATTAAGTCTGCTGATGCCCCAGGGGCAGGAGCCCAAAGTGGGGACAGAGAAGTGTATATCAGGAGTAAGGAAAACGAACTCGGGGACATGGCTCAGGAGGCAAAATGCTTACTGTGAAATCCTGAGGACATGAGTCCGTGTCTTATTTTTTTTTTTGTTTTTGTTTTTTGAGAAAGGGTTTCTCTGTGTAGCTTTGCACCTTTCCTGGAACTCACTCTGTAGTCCAGGCCAACATCGAACTCACAGAGATCCGCCTGCCTCTGCCTCCTGAGTGCTGGGATTAAAGGCGTGCACCACCACCGCCCGGCCTGAGGACATGAGTCCGAATTGCCAGAACCTAAATGAAGTTGAACACAGAAGTGTGTGTCTGTGATCCCCGTGTTTCTATGGTGACTGGGGGGCAGACACAGGGGGATCCCTGGAAGTTTTCAGGTCAGCTAGCCTGGGGTATGAGACAGTGAGCAAGAGCCTTTGCCCCAAACAAGACTGAAGGTGAGGATTAGCATCCAAGGTTGCCCTCTTACCTCCACATACTCTGTGGCAAGTGCTCACCTCCTCTTCCACACACATCACACACACAAAGATGAAGGAAACAAGTTAGCAAACATGGCAGAAAGTCCAAGAATAACATAGAAAGAGTCGGGACTGGGAGTGTAGCTCAGCTGGTAGAGTATTTTTCTATCATGCACAAGGTCCTGGGGTTGATACCCACCACCACATCAAACAAGCATAGAGCAACATACCTGGTGACCCCACTTAGATGGAGGCAGGCAGATGGGGAGTTCAAGTCATCCTCAACTACACAGGGAGTTTGTGGTGGTTTGAAAGAAAATGGCTCCCTAAGGGAGGGGCACTATTAGGAGGTGTGGCCTTGTTGGAGGAAGTGTGGCACCGTGGAGGTGAGCTTTGAGGACTCTTCCATGCTCAAGCCACACCCAGTGAGACAGTTCACATCCTGTTGCTTGCTGATCAAGATGTAGGACTCTCAGCTCCAGCACCGTGTCTGCCTGCACGCTGTCATGTCCTACCCTGATGATAATGGACTGAACCTCTGAAACTGTAAGCCATCCCATTAAACTTTTTCTATTATAAGAGTTGCCGTGACCATGGTGTCTCTTCACAGCAATAGAAACCCTACCTGAGACAAAGTTCAAGCCTGGGCTACATAAGACCTTGTCTCAAATACACACACACACACACACACACACACACACACACACACTCAAGCCTGGGCTACATAAGACCTTGTCTCAAATACACACACACACACACAGGCCTGGGGGAAGTCTTCAGAAACTTCTGTCTCCATCATATTCACTATGTTATTGTAGTGATCTTGTAATTTGGAGCCCTGCATCTGCCCCCACCTTCCTGCAGTCAACTGTCCCCAGAGGGAGCCCTATTAGACTTACTTCCCTCTCAAAACCCTCCAGTGGCTCTCCACACAGGTCCTCAAACTCACCAGGGCATGCGCTTGGTCAGTCTTTTTACACGCTATTCCCTCTGCTTGGAAATTGTCACTGGGTCTCCACGTGACTGTCCCTGGTCGGTGGCTGAGGCCTTCCCTAGCTCTTCAGTGTAACAATGCAGCCACCACCAAAGCAGTCCTCCCGGCCCTTCTGTTTTAACCAGCATGTTGAAGCAGCTGATGCGGTCACGTGCTCGCGTGCCTTCTCCCACTCCAGTCCCTCTGGGAAGACAGGTGCTCTTGTCTGACCATTAGTGTACCAGTGCTTGACACCTTTGAAGGTATCAGTGAACAATGAAGATCCTCACTGAGCAGGTCACCGAGGCAAATGGTCCCCAGTTTGGTTCAGAAGCTTGCCATGCGTCTAGGAATCCCAGTTTTCCATTTTTTTTTTTTAAATGGGCCAAGCTCAGTATCAAGATGTCTTTGCTCGTTCTCAGAATGGCTGATGCTACTCAAACTCTGTCTTTTCTTCTACCGCTTGAAAGAACGGGAAGGGTAGCAGGAGCTATTGATGCTTCTCTGCTGATGTAGGCAGGGACCTTGTCTTTGCCGGTGGTGTGTTAGCAGGGTTTCTCAACACATCACAATTGGCTTGGACATCTGTTCCTAAATCAACTGAGCAAGTAGAGGATTTCCCTGCTTTAGAACAGTAGTAGTGGGCTAGAGATGGTCAGGGGTTAAGAGTGATTGCTGCTCTTGGAGAGGACCTGAGTTCCATTTCTAGCATGCACATCAGGAGGCTGACAAATGCCTGTAACTCCAGCTCCCGGGATATCTGATGCCCTCTTCTGGCCTTTACCGGCACCTGCACTCACATGTGTGTGCACAAACAAGCACACGTGTTGTGTGCCCCTCCCCCACTTAAATAATACTTAACAGGAGTTGTGGTTCCTTCCCCAGGGATTTTATGGTTAATGTTGATTGTCGCTTGATGAGATTCAGAATCGCCATGGAAATAAAACTCCAGGAATTTTATGTGAGGGAGTTTCTAGATTAGGTTAGCAGAGGCAGGAAAACCCACCCTGAGTATGGATGGCGTCATGGACTGGGATCTCAGACTGAGTGAAAAGGAGAACATGAGCTGAGCACCAGCCTTCTCTTTCTGTTTCCTGACGGTGGGCACAATGTGACCAGACACTTTCAAGGCTCCTATTGCCATGCTTTCCCACCATGATGGACTGTTTCCCTTGAACTGTGAGCCCAAATAAGCTCTTCTCTCCTTAAGCTGCTTTGGTCAGATTTACTCCCAGCCACAAGAAACATAACTAATGCACGGGAGTCAGACACAGCAGAGTTCAGCTGCTCTTCTCATCAGTCTTCTGCTGCTGTGATAAACACCAGGAGCAAAAGCAACCTGGGGAACACAGGGTTGGTTTCAGCTTATGCTTCCAGGAAACAGGCTTCCCTTGAGGGAGGGTAGGTGGGGCAGGAACTGAAGCAGAAACCGCAGAGGAACATTGCCTACTGGTTCCTCTCTGGAATGTGTTCAGCTAGTTTTATATGTGGATGAGGGCCACTTGCCTAGGGATGGTCCATCATCCATCAAGACCATCTCTTACAGACATGGACACAGGCCAATCTAAGACAATTCTTCATCTGAAACTCCCTCTTTCCAGATGACTCTAGGTTTGTGTCCAGTTGGACAATAAAACAAGTAGAGTTGGTAAGGAGAAGGGGGTGGAAAGAGGATCCACAGAAGGCTCCAGGTGAACTAGGCATGGCTGCTGGAGGATGTTAATTGTTGAGGGGTACCGTCCCTATCTTTTGTACCCCAAGTGTCAGTAGGCAGGTTATGATGCGAGTCTCATGAGAGACAGGTAACCCTAGAACTGCTTCAGCTCATCCGCTGTCCCTATTAAACATACATACAAGAGGGTTGGGGATTTAGCTCAGTGGTAAAGCACTTGTCTAGCAAGTGCAAGGCCCTGGGTTCGGTCCTCAGCTCTGGAAAAACAAACAAACAAAAAACAAAACAAACAAACAAAATACATACAAGAGCAGAACCAGCCTCCCCAGTGCCCCAAAGCTCTTCTACCAGACAAGGCCAACCCTTCATAGTGGTCCAGTGCCTAAGACCCAAACAAATGAGTCTAGCTGCCTGTTTTGGTGAGGGTTCTCTAGAGTAACAGAACTTATAGCATGAATCTAACACACACACACACACACACACACACACACACACACACACACACGAAGATTAGAATAACTTACAGGCTGTGGTCCAGCTGGTCCAACAATGGTTGTATACCAATGAAGGTCTGAGAATCTAGTAATTGCTTAGTTTTTTGAGGCTGGATGTCTCAGCTGGTCTTCAGTCTACTCCAGAATCCCAAAGAAGTGGCCTCTAATGCCAATGACGGAATGGACTTGACAGTGAGAGTAAGCAGGAAAAGGGGAGGAGCATGTTTCCTTCTTCTGTGTCCCTCATCTAGGTTGTCAGCAGAAAGTGTGGTCCAGATTAAAGGTGGATCTTCCCACCTTAAAGATCTGGCTTAGAAGTGGGTCTTCCCACTGCAAGTGATTTAATTAAGGAAAAGTCCCTCACAGGTATGCCCAATCATTTGGGTTTTAGTTAATTCCAGATGTGGTCAAGCTGACATCCAAAAACAGCATCACCTTGCCAGACTCCAGTGCTTTGTGTTTGTCAAGAAAACAAATTAGCTGGGCATGTTGGCGCACACCTTTAATCCCAGCACTCAGGAGGCAGAGGCAGGTGGATCTTTGAGTTTGAGGTCAGCCTGGTCTACAAAGCGATTTCCCGGACAGCCAGGCTACACCGAGAAACCCTGTCTGGAAAAAAAATAAAAACCAAACCAAACCAAAAGCAAACATATTGATGGGTGAGGGGTGGTAGAATGTTCAACTCATGCAAGACGCCCTGGGTCCAATCCCAGTTCTGCAGAAACTGTCTGTGGAGACACAAATCTGTAATCCCAGCACTGGGAGGTGGAGAGCAGAGGAAGCTCAAACTCACTGATGTATACAGAGTTTGAGGCCAGTCTGGGATACATGAGACCCTGTCTCAATACCATTTGTCCACCCCCACCCCTGAAAGAAGGAAAGGAAGGAAGAAAGAAAGAAAGAAAGAAAGAAAGAAAGAAAGAAAGAAAGAAAGAAAGAAAGGAAGGAAGGAAGGAAGGAAGAAAAAAGAAAAGAAAGAAAGAGCAAGCAAGGCAGATTAATGGAAGTGGAATCTTATCCCATAATTTTTTTTGTAAATGAAACCAAATTAAACTTCAAAAACTATTTATTTTTGAGTAGATAATGCATGTACATGGTACAAAATTCCAGAATACAAAAGACAAGTGGTGAAAAGTCATTCCCACCCTCTTCCAGGAGGCAACCGAGGTTGCCAGGCTACCGTGCCACTTCTCAGAGACACTGGGCACAGGCAAGCAGACGCATCACAAGCATATGTGTGAGTATATGCACACACACACATATGCATACACACACCTACAACACATGTATTTATCTCTATTCCAAACACTAGCATTCCATGCATGTTCATACATGTCTCCTTCCCCCACTTAGCCATGTGGCTCCAAGATCTGTGAACATTCCCTGGCGATACACATCGCAGGTCTATTTTAACTATCTGCAAAAAGCCCCACTGTGGAGATGGGCCATGATTTTTCACCCCTGTTCTGAATTAGTGATAGTTTCTAACTCTTTGTTATTACAAACGTTGCTTTAATAAAAGATTCTGTACATGAGAAAAGTTCCTAGGCGTGGCACTGCTGGTTCAAAAGGCAGTCCGCTTGGATTTGTGACATACATACTCGGTTGTCCTCCGAGGAGGAGGAGGCTGCAGGTTTTCAGCTCTGCCATCACTGGGCTGCTGCCCACAGGTGTACAGCACCTCCCCTTTTCTTGGATTCATGTGGCTAAGATGCATCTACCACGTTTGAAGGAAGAACATATACTCAGGATCCTATCTGACACCAATGTGCCCTCCCTGCCACAATACTGGACATCTCCAAAAGGTGATCTTGGTTAAAGGTTGGAAACTTCTGGAAAACTCTTTTTTTTCCCTATTCCAACCTTCAAGGTTAGTGACTAATGAACACATGCCTTAGAGAACTTCTCTAATGCTGCTGACTAGAACTGCCAACCTGTTTCAATCTGAGCAAGGATTAGGTCGAATCTGTATTTTGCTACTACAGGATGCAAAGATATAATTTGGGGAGCTGACTTAACTAAATGGGATGTTCTGACCATTTGAGAAACCACAACGAGGTGGGCAAGGTCCCCGCTTTTGCTGCCCTTACACATTCCTAAGAGGGAAGATGTAGACCTTGCAAAGGACTGGGGACCTTAAGCATCGACGTGTGTCACTGGGACAACCGATGTGGTGGGTGGACTGTGGATCAGGAGGCCAATGTAAAAGGGACCACACAGATGATCATGGAAAGCCACTACCCCAAGTTAGGGAAAGGACAGAGCCTAGTCAGAGGACATATGAGGAAAATATCCACAGAGGGTGAGCTCGGCCCATCTAGGAACTGATACAGGCCAATGAGGATACAGAAGGAGAAATTCCCCATGGTGTCAAACACACTGCAGATGAGGTGCTAAAACCCTGATCATGATCTCATACATCGAGTTTATTGTGAGAAGACAGAAAACATGCATTACTTTTTTTGTATGTGCATGTTCCTATATGTGTATGGGGTGTGTGTGCATGTGCATGTATATGCCTGTGCAAGTGAAGGCCAGAGGTCAACTCAGTTGCCTTGGGATTGCTCTCCACCTTATTTTATGAGACAGGTTTTCTCACTGAATCTGAAGCTTACCAATTCAGCTAGTCTGGCTGGTCAGTGAGGCCCAGAGATCGTTCTGTCTCTGCCTGTCTAGTGCTGGGAATACAAGAGCGCATGGATGTGCTTGCCTTTTTATGTGGGTGCTGGGGATCCTAACTCCGGTCCTCATGCTTGCAAGGCAAGCACTTTACTGACTGAACCGCCTCCCCAGCTCTCCATTACATTTTATGGACAACTTTGGCCTACGTCCCCCTGCTGCTAGAAGGGAGAGCATGGCGGACTCTAAGACGCATCTCATAAAGCTCTTCCTCTGGCTCTGCATTAAAGTGTTCTATTTCTTGGTGACCAACCCTGGCAATGACTACATCATAACCACCTCCTTACAGTATTTCTCAGAGCATATTTCAACTCAACCACCTGAACCTTCACAAGTCAAAGTCACTGTTAGAAGTTATTGCTACGATATCCAGTCCCCTTACACTGACCATCCATGACCTGGAGAGCAGGCAGGATAGAACCGTGGAGGCAGGAGGAATGCAGAATGTACAGGCTGCAGGCCGGGCTGGGTGTCCCAGATACCCCTTCAGGTAGTGTCTGCTTTACTCAGGATAGACAAGCTGAGAGTCTGGCAAAGTGACAATCCATGGGAATGGCACTTTGTGAGGTAGTAAGAGGGCTGCTGGAGGGCCTGCCCCATGTTTCTTCAAGGTTTTGAGAGGTCTCCAGCGACAGTGTGGAGAGGAAGAGCCCTGCCTGGTGACCAACGCTGGTTTGGTTCCACCACCAGTCTGTGTCTTCACTGTTTTTGAACCAAGGGCTACAGACCAGACCCCCAGCCACAAGGTCAGGCTAACGGGAGTTTAAGCCCGACACGGGCTCTGCTTCAATAGGGAAACACCAGCCCTTGGATACAGGCTGGCAGCTGATCTATGGTACTATGTGCTGCCCACATGCTGCTGGCTGACTAAATACTGAACATGGCAGAACAACAGAATGTCCCCACGTCTTCCCAGACATCTCTCCATGACTTTATTCTCACCCAGATCATGACTGCACGCTGCTCTGAGCCTGATCGTAACCAGAGCACCCCCAGGTATTCCAGGAGAAGCAAGTGGGAGTGAAGGCAGCTCCTCACCTAGAGACTGAGAAAGAATGGCACTGGGTGCCAGTCCTGTCAATAAGCTCACTGCTCTGAATCTGGTTTCTCTTAAAGTGCATACTGGGGAAAAAAAAGTCACAAATGTTTCTCCACTGTCTTATAATTCTGGTAAAAGCCAGGAGGCTTAGAACACAATGCTATCCCATGTCTGGGCACAGAAGACACTGCCTGGGCAGGCCCCTCCCTTTCACCAGTCTCCAGATGGATTCTGAAATGACCAGGGCCCTCAGGGAATCTCCTCAGCCTATTTCATGCTGGAATTACCCACAAAGGTGCTGTCTTACGCTTCAGGATGTCGGAAGCACGTGTAGGATTCTCGGTGCTGGCTTCTGAAGCCTAATTCAGAGTATTCAACCAACCCAGCCAACCCAGGGGGCTCCAAAACAATACAGGCTAGTCATGCTCATGGTTGGCCCCCAGAACTAGATGGAAAGACACTACTGCTTCAGGTACCACATACTTTGAATGTAGGTCACAGAGAAATCGAGAGAGATCCGAGCTAGAAGCTTCCTCCCTGCTGGCTAGCTTTCATGGTGGCAGATGTTGCTACACAGGCAGCTGGGGAGGAGGGTGTCATCAACAGTCTTAGCCAGCTTTGAACTTGCAACTAAAATACCAACCAGCCAGGCAAGATGTGAGCATTGGCGTAATACCGGCATGACTGTTATGGGGTAACTAAAAGTACTTTGTTTAGATCTGTGGCCTGCTCCTCAGGAGGGAGTTCATACCTGGTACTATAGAGCTAGTAACATGAACCTCTCATCATCTGTGTTAAGCCTTGTGGATTAAAAAATGTGACAAGGTATCTACCAATTTCTCTCCACCAGGAGTGACCAACCTTTTGATATGATAACATGATATTGTCATCTACAAAGTTTACACAGAGTACACCGTATAATGGAATTTTTTTTAAGAAAAAAAGCAGAAAGGGAAAAGAACTTCAGTGTTTTAAATTACTTTACAATTTTGTGTTGGGCCACATTCACAGCGATCCTTGGCTACAGGGTCAAAATGCTGCCTCCTTCCCCAAAGTCCTACTTTATTTTTATTAACTTCATTATTATTTTACAAGTGTTTACTTCAGCTGAGACTTTTCATAATGCTCTCGTGACCATGCAGGTCCCAGTGCAGGTAGAGGTGGGCACAGGGCTCACTAGGAAGTGTGCTGGCACAGAGGAGTGACCAGCTTTAGCTGCTGCTGTTCCTACCCAGCTCATTGCAGCTCAGTGACCCCGGTTCAGGAACTGATGATGCTATTAAGCCTGCCTGGGCTTTTCTTTTGGGGTAGAAGACAGTCATATGTAGCCCAGGCTGGTTTCCAGTTTGCTGTTTAGCCTAGGATGACCTTGATTTCCTGATCCTCCTGACTCTACTTCCTGAGAGCACATCACAAATGTGCCCTACCACGTCTGGTTTGTGTGATGTTAGGGACGGAACCTAGGCAAGTGCTCACCAGCTGGGCCCCAGCACCTCTTTCCTCTAAGTCTGTAGGACTCACGCCTCTTAATCACATACATCAGGAAACGAACAGTGAATAGTGCTTCTGCGACTGCCCAATGCTCCACCTGCCTCACATATTTATGCTTCTGTCAGATGGTCCCAACCTGCCGTTCAGATGGAACTTATGCAAGATGAAGCACAAGCCTCACGCTGGGGTTTACTGAGCATGACCCAGTCGCTAGGTTCCTGATTGCTGAGGGGAGTGCTCTGCCATTGCTTTGGTCTGCTCATTTTCCAGGGCCTAAAACCAAGGCTCTAGGGGCTATGAAAGGCCCTTCCTCCCATCTCAGCTAACATCCTATTCCTTGCAGATCTAGCCCAAGTACTGTTTCCTCCATGGAGTCCTCGTGCCCCTAAAACCTGCTTTTCCTCCATGCTCAGAGTCTGCTGTCTTCCCCCATGGCTGCCCTGACAGTACCGAACAGCGTACACATCTTAATCTCCACTTAGACCCTGACATCTGCAGTGCAGGAACACGGGATACACCTCAAACAAAGCCCGGCTGGATATGGGAAGCTTCAATTCTTATTGAAGTGTTCTCAACGGAAGGTATGTCTGCAGTATTTCCATCAAGTGAACCTGGGTGGTGTGCAGGGTTAAAGGGATGACACTGAGCCACCCTGACAGCTATCCTGGACCACATGTAGCCAGAGGGCTGGACATACCCACAGCCATGCCAAAGGAAACACCCGAGAAGCCTGGCTCCAGATGAAGGGTCACTTTATATCAGTCTTCCTGACATAGACAGGTGAACTCTAGAAAACCTGAACCTCACCTCTTCCGTCTCTACACCTGTGGGCTAATTGCTCTGCATGCCAGTCCTGCCTATAGTCCGTATGCACTGTGAGAAGCCGGAACAGAAGGCACAATGGTAGGTGCACGGCCTAAGCCAGTCACAGGACTGGGCTGGTTGCTCCCTCAGCAGCCTTCTGAGACATTACAAGGGACACACCTCAGGGGTCAAGTGGGTTGTATCTGCTCTCTGGCCCCTGCCAGATGCCAGAGGAGAAGGGACAATGTTCTGTATTCTGCTACATTTATCTCAGGGCTCATTTGTCAGCAGTTGCTCAACTAATAAATGCTCTTTATTCTCAGGGCCCGTACAAATCTAGATACCTTCATAAATGCAGTGTTACTGGAGGAAAAAGTTGAGTGGGCAGAGTGAAGAGCATTGCCCACATTTCTTCACAGGGTTCTAGGTGTCATCCAAGCCGTGGTGTTAACTCTGAGTCCACCGGCTGCAGCCAGGAGAGATGAAAAGAAACAAACAGGAGAAAGAAAACATCCATCCAGAGAGTTGAAATGAATCTTCCCGTATCTCTCCACCATCACTTTCAGAACCGTTTCAGGATCCTGCAGTCTATACATGCCATGAAAAATATCGCCAACATACAGAGGTGGAGATGGATGTTCAGGAGGCCTTGGCTTTGATCTTGGACAGCAATAGTTCATTCTTTCGGCCCTCCTGGAAAAGCAGTCAGAGAGAAGCAATGACTGTTAGTCACTGGTACTCACATGGGGTCTCCAAAGATGCCCCAACCTTCTACTCAGTCACTGCCTGCTTCTCCCCCCACCCCTTTTGAGATGGAGACTCACATAGCCCAGGTTGGTCTTGAACTGGCTACAAAGCCAAAAATGACCTTGAGTCTCTGATCCTCCTGCCTCCACCTCCTGAGCACTAGAATGACAGGAGTGCTGGGGATCAAATTCAGTGTTCTGGACGGCCAGACAAGCACTCTGCCTACATCTGTTGCCCCTTAGCAGCCATTTGCTGACCAGTCAGTCAGTCTCCTGGCGGGACACTCCTTGGTGACCTACTGAGCTGTGTCAAGACAGATGTGATGAAGCCTCTGGGCTGAAGACAGGCGACCAGGCACTACCATTCCTACAGATAGAACTTTCTAAAAATCTCCAAGGGGACAGAAGCAGAAAGGAGACACTTATTTGCCAGTCTGCTTGGGGAGGTAAGAGGAGAGAAGGAGCCTTGGAGACTGTTCCCCAAGAAGGGAGCAAGGTATCCTCAGTGCCCACACAGCAGGTGAACAGTCAGAGGTTCTATCAGGAAGATGCCGGGCATTCTCAGCCTTAAGAAATAAGTGCGCAGAAGGCGCGATGAGAGGCGTTTATGAAGGGTACTTTCTTCTCCAATAATGAAGGGCATAAGGTTCATGACTAAACACTTTGAGTGCCGTCACCGAGGGATGTCACTGGCCCCATTTCTGGCCAATAGTGTCCAGTGTCCTGAGATACCAATTACCTTTCTGTATTTCTTTCCTCTGTTCACCTGACAGCTCAAGACCCTTCGCTTAGCAAACCCCCAAAACCCCAGGCCCTTCCCAAAGCTTTCTCATGTCTCTAACCAAAAGGGAGCTGAGGGGCTGGGGAGATGGCTCAGTGGGAAGTGTGCCTGATGAGCAAGAATGAGGACCTGGGTCTGAATCCCCATCACCTGCACAAAAAGATGGGCATGACTGTGCACACGCCTGTAACCTTGGTGCTGTGGGTATGGAGACCGAGGATTGGTGGGACTTTCTGGCTGCCAGTCTAGCTCTGGACCAGTGAGAGACCATGTCTCAAGAGAATACAGCAGAAGAGTTATAGACATCCGATATCCGCCTCTGGTCTCTGCACAGAGATGCATGGGCATGCACAGGCACACACATGTGCATCACATATGTACTCCACATCAGGTACTAGGCTCTTCCCGAGCCTCAGGACCTTGGCTGCTCCCTACGTGCTCTTGCTCTCCCCAGAGCAGAGCCCTGCTCAGCCTGTAGACTCCACCTTGGCTGCAAATCTGCATCTGTCTCTCTGCATGGTGAAGTTTGCAACTATTACTGTTACTATTTCTTGTTCACTGTGGCTTCTGTCTGTTTCTTAGCTTCTCATCTGTCTCCTTCAGCACAGTGAAGCTCCATGAGGGCAGAGACCAGGCCTGGTTTACAACCTGGTTTATGCCAGAGGCACAGTCAGAGCTGAGGACATTTGAAAGGATGAGAGTTGTTGCTATGCCTTAAACAGGCATTCAGCTGCCACAGTTAACTCATAAAACAGGAGGTCGGCCAGGTAGAGAAGAATAAGGCAGAAGAAAAGACAGAATAACCTTTAAAAATAAACAACATCGTCGGCATGGGACGTTTGCTTTTCATTTTGTTCATGTGTGCATGTGTGTGTGTGCTTGCACACGTGTGTGTACCTGTGTCTATGGAGGTCAGAGGTCAGGCTCAGCTGCTGCTCTTTAGGCATTGTCTACCTTCTTTCTAAAGTTATATTTTCTATTTGTTTGTTTTGTGTGTATGTGTGTGCTGGCCACGGAGATCACAGGGCGACTTGCGTGGTTGGTTCTCTCCTTCCACCATGTGGGTACTGGCTATTGGAGCCAAGTCATCAAGCTTGACACCTTTACCCACTAAGTGTCTTGCTGGCCCTACCTTACTTTTCTGAGGCAGGGTGTCTCCCCGGCCTGAAACTCACGGAGCAGGCTGGGCTGGTTGACCAACAAGCCCAGTGGTGCTCCTGCCTGCTCTCCCTCAGCACTGGGATGACAAGTGGGCACCATACCTGTCTTTGGTGAGTTCTGGGGACTCAACCCCAGAACTCCTTCTTTCACAGAGAGTGCCTCACTGACAAAGCCCAGGTCTCGCCAGCCCCAGCTCTGGTCTTTAAGGGTGTGCCTTGAGGTGAGGTGAATGAGCACCTGATTTTGGCTACCGCCCCCTCCGGCCCACGCCCTCTCACCTCTTTGAACTCTTTCACAGTCTTGAAGTAGAGCCGCTGCTTTTCCAGAAGCTCCAGGTACTGATCGTTCAACTGGTCCCTTCTCATCTTGTTCTCCTGTTTCTTCTTTTCCATCTGTGGGAAACATTTTGGCGGATGAATGAACGAACAGGCACTCTGACAGCGACTACAACAAGCAGCCCTGATTAGCATCCGCAGCTCTTCTTCCAGGCCCTCCCTCGGAACATCGTTTCTTGGGTTGGCCTGTTTTCCTGAATGATACCATCTGCAGGCTCTATAATCTAGTCGGAAGCTCAGTTGCCATGGAACGTTAGGTGAACAGCATGTGTTTTGGGGGTATTCTCGACTGGGGACTACTTTTTAGAGCGTATTTCTGAGTGTCTGCAAGAGGTTCCGAGTGAGTGAGTGTCACACTGTGAGGAAGGGGCTGCTGGCATCACTAGCAAGGAGGAGCTGCTCCCTACCCTACAGGTTCGGGACAGTGATAAGGAAAAGGATTATCTGGCCCGGAATGTCGGCTGTGTGGTGGGTGAGTAACCCCGATACATATAATTGTGTATTTATAAAAATGGCCCATCACCCCTTCGTTTATCATGACTGCATCATAGAATAAGCTATCTCCAATTACCTTGACTATGTTATAGGTTGTTCCCAGGATTCTGATCTTATACAGACACTAGACGCTGACTTCAAGGGATTCTCTAAAGTAGCCAAAAGCTGGGGTAGGTTGCAAGTGGAGGTTGGAGGACTACTTGTCTCTCCTTCTATCACATGCCTGTACCCAGTGAGCCACCTAGTTGTCCCCACCTTGTTCTAGAGACAGGCACCATCACTGGCCTGAAACTTGCCAAGTACCCCATCAAACCCCAGGGATGCTCCAGTCTTCAGGTCCCCAGCTCCGGGATTACAAGTATACATTAACACCACTACACTTGACATTTTCTCAGGGTTCTAGGGACTAAATTCAGGCCCTTTATTCACTTGGTAAACAGTCCTGGAACACCTACAGAGGGCCTAAAGTTAGCAGTGAACAGCAAAGTCTTTGTTCTCACTGAGCACATCCTGGCAACTGGTACCGTGCCAAAGCAAACCAAGCAAGCAAGCATCTAACAAACGAATGCACGTTACAGTGCTCAGCAGCATCAGTGCTGAGGAAGACGGAATGGGGTGAGATGGTGAGGGCACGGGGACTCTGTGATGCAGAAGGCTGGGGGTGGGGGAGTGCTCTGAGAAGGGACAACTTAGCAGAACCAGGAGCGGTGTGAGCCGCGTTGTCTGAAGCTAAATGTAGAACATCAGCCAGCGAGGAGGTGAGGGCAGAAAGACTTCATGTACAGAGCAGGTGCTGCCTGCATGTAGCAGAGATGGTGCGTGTGCATGCATGTGTGTGTATCTGTGCAAGTATCTATGTGCATGCGTATGTGTGCATAGGCCAGAGGACAAACTCGGCTGTAATCCCTCACCTTGTTTTTGAGACAGGTCTCTGCCTGGCCTAGGACTGGCTAAGGAGGCTAGGAGGGCTAGCCAGTGAGCCCCAGGGATCCTCCATCGCTCTCCCCAGCATCAGAATCATAAGCACATGCTATCACACCCTGCTTCATTTATGTGGAAAGAATCAGTTTAGGTGTGAAATGTCATGAGATAAATGACCAGGGAGGAGGTGGATGGACAAGAGAAGGTTGCTAGGGAAGGACAGCTCTTTTTCTGTAAAGCAGGGGAGGGGGTAGGATCGCTTATTTAATACAGTCTACGGGGGAGTAGCACAGTGCCTGGACACAGGAGTGCTCAGTGCCTGGAAGCTATGGTTAATAGCGTGGAGGCCTTCCCCACCACAGTCTCATGTCTGCTGGGAGGCAATGTGGAAGGGTGCAGTCAGGATGGAAAGCCTATGCCTGGGACCTCCTCACCACCACAGAGGCTGTGTGGTGCTGTAGAATAAGCTAGCTGACCTTCATCCTGTTTTGTTTAATCCCTTCGACGATTTGTTCCATCTGCCTTAAAAACTGGTCCCGGGAAGCAGGGGAGGCCATGGCTCTGAAAGAGAAATCAGCAGAGGTAGGTCCAGCACACAGGACTGTTAAAAAGGGGTGGGGGGCACCAAGGAGTCAGCTCTGAACCTAGAGTGTGCCCAACAGTCAACTAGGTCTTTGCAGGGCCCAGCGGACCCAGAGGGTCACCAAGAATAGCACGTAGTCAGTATTCCAAACCTCTGATCTAATAACCGAATGTGAATCTTATTTCCCATTCTCCCTATGTTCCTGTGGCAATGGACTGCAGAAGGAACAACTTTAACTAGATGGAGATGGATTCTGAGGAAAACTATGCAGGTGAGAATATGCCACTTCTTTAGTCTACATAGACAGGTATGTGTACCTCTTTCAGCAGCAGTATGCACACAGGCAACTTTGGGGGGCTTTCTTTCCTAGGAACTTTTTAGCTTCTTCCTTTCAACTTTTAACCAGTATGTATTTTCTCAACATAAAATGTGAATAAAATTAATAAAAATGCCATTTGCCATGAATTATGGCATGTACTGCTTAAGAAATTAATTCAGTTTTGTTTTTTAAGAATCTGAGGACGGGGAGATGTCACCTGGAACTAGAGGACATGCTCTGAGTATTCCTAGATCTGAGCTGGGGAGCCCTAAAACCATGCTTGAAGCTAGAGTTTTTTCTGGTTCTGCCTGGCCCACGGTCAGGACAAGTCTCTCTCACCCGCCAGTCCCGCAGCTGCTCAGACCCAACTGAGGTAAACACACGGAGACTTATATTGCTTACAAACTGTCTGGCCGCAGCAGGCTTGTTATCCAGTTCTTCTATCTTAAATTAACCCATTTCTATAAATCTATACCTTGCCACGTGGCTCATGGCTTACTGGCATCTTCACATGTTGCTTGTCATGGCGGTGACTAGCAGTGTCTCTCTGACTCAGCCTTCCACTTCTCCTCCTTGTCCCACCTATACGTCCTCCTGCCTGGCTACTGGCCAATCAGTGCTTTATTTATTAACTAATCAGAGCAATACGTTTACAGCATACAGAACATCCCACAGCACATGCTGGAGGCAGCAGGTGGGGGGTAGATTTTCCGGTGTGCCTGCTACACCTTCCTACCCATATCCAGCCCTACAGAGGGATGGGAACCAGGAGGTCAGAACATCAGTGCTCACAGAATTGGGGATTCTCCCAGAAAGTGAGTGGGCTGACAGAGCAGAACTGTCACGGTTATCAGGGAGACAGTACTATAGTCTGAGAAGGGCAACAGGACACAAAGGCAGGTGTCACACCTGCACTCCCAGGGAAACTATGGCTGCTGGCTTTTTTCCCTTCAAGACTCCCTCCCTGGCATGCCTTGGGTCCTGAGGATCCAATTTTAGGTTCAGGCCTGATAAAGAATGCCTTAGTCCTGCTGTGTTTAAATTAGAAAAGACATAGACACCCCTGATTCTAGATGAACTTGGTCTTAAAATGTTTCTGGTCTCCTGCCAGGGGCCCACAGAGGCTTGTGCTAGAAAAGGGAAGCATGCTTTTCTGGCAGCAAGCCTTGGGCTACCAGGAAGGTGGGTAGGGCAGCTTACCCTGAATACACTCCAGAGCTGGTGTGACCTGATGGCCTCGCTATACGATTTATAAAGATGTCCTTGCTACACATTTTATTTTGTTTTATTTTATTTTTTTGAGACAAAAATCTCATGTAGCCTAGGTTGGCCTTCAACACACATTGTTGTCAAGAGTGACCTTAAACTCTTGATTCTTCTATCTTCCCTCCCAAGCACTGGGATTATAGGTGTGTACTAAGAAGTCCCAGCTTATGCAGTGCTGGGAACTGAGCCCTGGTCTTCACGCTCTGCACAAGCATTCCTCTACCGAGCTAAATCCCCAGTTTAGAGGATGTATGTTAACTTAGAGAATACGCCTTCAGGCATCCATCCTCAGGGTCTGCCTACCTTGGTTTTTGAAGCAAGCTATCTCACTGGCCTGGAATTCACCAAAAAGGCTAGGCTGGCTGGAAACTGGATCCCAGGAATTGCCCGTCTCCACCCGCTCTGCTCTGGGATTACAGTCATGACATTACATTCGATTTTCCATCTGAGGGTTCTGGGATGGAACTCGGGTCCTTGTGCAAGGCAGGCTCTTTACCCAGTGCATTACAGTTTGCAGAACCTTCCGTTAAAGCCTGTCTGCCCTGAGTGGAGTCGGAAAGTGAGAGGTTTCACATCCCAGCACCAGGCCATTCATGCACCACAGCAAGATCGGGGAGAGCAGCCAGGGAGGAGAGCACGCGGTACTTACTGGGAGAAGTTCTCGTGAATTGAGTTAAGCAGGCTAATCTGGGGAGTGAAAAAAGAATCGTGTAAGTAAAAGGCAGTGGGTTCCCACACCACTTCAGTCATTGCTGGAAAGCTTGCCTGGGCTGGGATAACGCCACTGAAAGAATAAAGAGCTGTCAAGTGGGCCAAAGCAACATATGAAAGAAGAAAAGAAAGAGCAACATGTCTTGCCTGCGGAGTTTTCCTCCGGGAATCGACCACTATCTACCTGAAGACAACTTTTCCCCCAGAATGCATGATCGTGAGAATGTAGGAAGGAAGGACAGCTCTTTAAAGGACTCGGTTGCCAGCTGAGAGGACTCTAATGGCAGGGCTCTTTGGACAAACTGCCAGCACAGATCATTTTTGTCTTCCCTAACATCCTCTTCATTTTGAGGCTATCAGCCCGGGGTGGGTCAGCTGAGAAAGAGAAGATACTGCCCGTCTTCCACCACCCCACTCCCACCAAGTCAACCAACATGGCCAGCTGCTAAATAGTCCTGAGAGCTTCGGATAAATCATATCCTTCATGGTCCTGTTCCCATGGAAACTGTCTCTGCCCTCACATCTGGACCCCTCATCTGCCAGGAAGGGCTGTCTGGGGTCTCCCTGGCTGGGCATTGTTTAACCTATTGGCTCATTCCTAAGCAGTAACTATACCTGAACTCAGACTCAGACTCACAACACACAACATAGGAATGACATTCTTACCCTTAATACTTCAGAAAGAGTGTGGGTTTTTTTTTTTCTCATGTGTTTTTGTGTTTGTATGTGGAGGCTAGAAGACACCCTCATCTGCCACTCCTCATGATGCTATCCACCTTGCTTTTTAAGACAGGGTCTCTCACTGGCCTGAAGTTTATCAAGAAGGCTAGGACAGGGATAGGGCAGTGATTCCCAGTGATCTATCTGTCTCTGCTTCCCCAGTGCTGGGATTACAAGCATATGACCATGCCTGCGTTTATTTTTTTAAATGTGAGTTCTGGGGATTGAACTCAGAACCTCATGTTTGGAAAGCAAGCGCTTCCATGGGTTAAGCCATCTTCCGAGCCCCTCATGATGGTGTTTCTCACATGATACTACAGAGCAGGTGAACACCAGCTTCACTTCACTGTAGTGAATCAGGCAATCTCCTGCTTTGCAGTGACAAACCTGGATGCTTGGCCCAGGACGTCTCTCTCCACTAAACGCCTCCATCGCAGGCTCGAGGCTCACCTGAATCTTCTGGAGCTACTACGCTCTCAGTGGCCCATTTAAGTTATTTTCTTCCCATACAGGCTCTTACGAAGGCCAGTGCGATGGCTTAGTGTAAAGGTGCCTGCTGCCAACCCCTAAAGACCCGAGTTCTAGTCCTGGAGCCCACGTGGTGTAAGGAGAGAAGTGACTCCTACAAGCAGCCCTCTGACCTCCATGTACACAGTCCCCTACCCTGCAATACATTTTAAATAATATTAAAATTAAATTAAATAATCAAGTACCTCCTTTTCCAAATAAACTTTTCTGTCGTCCAGGGTGTTGTACAAAGTGAAGAACTGCTTGGTTTCCTTGTGCACCGCAGAAACTGCCAAAGAGATCAGCATCCCAGGGTAAGGGCGTCAGCCGATAAAGCATCCCAACCCGTGCAGCATGTGCCAGGACCTTGTGCACACTTAACCGTCACGGAAGCTTTTGTCTCTGTGCATACATGTTTGTACCTGCGTACATGTGCATGCGGAGGCTGGAGGCTGACACTGGGTATCTTCCTCAACCCCTCTTCACCTTATTTTTGAGATAAGATCTATCACTGAACCTGGAGCTCACGCACTAAGCTGGGCCGGCTGTTCAGTGAGCCTCAGGGATCCACCTGTCTCCACCTCCCAGTGTGTGTACCATCATGCCTGACTTTTAAAAAAATGTGTGTATGGATGCTTTGTGTGCATGCATGTATGTGCACAACATGTGTGTGTGCCTGGTGACCACGGAGGGTGCTGGATCTCCTGGAACTGGAGTTATGGATATCTGTGAGCTGTCATGTGGGCGCTAGGAATTTAACCTAGGTCCTCTGCAAAAACAAGTGTACGAGTGACCCTGAGTCATCTTGCCAGACTTTTTTTTTTTAAAACAACAACATACTTCTCAGGACCGAGATCAATCTCGGTCCTCATGCTTGTAAGGCAAGCACTTTATTAGCTGAAGCATCTCCCTAGATGCTGGGGGTGGCTTTGAGCCTAACATAATGTAGTCACTGGGTTGGCTGAGGGGAGACTGGATTATGAGGAGAATATGATGCTCTAAAGCAACTCCAGTGAGACTCCATGCAGCATGATTGAGGACCATCTGGAGATGCTGGGATGGGGATACTTCATAAGAAATCGGAAAGAAGAGGGGGCTCAGGTGACTACATGTAGCTAACCATAGCAAGCTGGCTCTTGAGATCATGAACTCATCTACGGAGTGGACAGTCAGGCTATAAGTCAGCTCCTGGACCTGTTCAGCAGGCCTGATGATGAAGCAAGGTCCTTTTCAGGGTGGAATTTGCAGACTGTGCTCTGGCCAATGCTGCACCATTATAAAGTGGATGGAGCCCCTGGCTTTCTCATCCTGCCTGGGGCCCAACAGTCTGTGTTTGATCAATGCACCTACTCTGACGGTAGAGTTCAATAAATCGCTTCTGATACTGTATCAGCTCAGCTCGACTGGGCACTTCGTCAATCTTGCGATGCAAATCGCTATTTCTCGATTTCTTCGTGCCTAAATGTAAAGAGACGGAGAGAGAGAACACTCGGTAAAATAAATTCTGTATTTGTTTGCACCCCACATGCTGAGCCAGCCACAAAGACACACATCTGGCTACTAGCTTGGGGTCCTCATGTGGGACTGTGATTGGCTTTTCCATTTTTGACATGTGCAGAAGTTGCTAACCAGAACCACAGAAAGACTCAGGGGGACTGACCCGAGAACAGGAAGTGAAAGGACAGTCCCAGATGACAGGTTGCCGCTCTAAAATGCATTCCAAATTCCTCAGTCTACCTGGAAGCCCATAACTGACTCCTCAAACCCTTTGGACAGGGAGACTGTCTTGTCAGGTGTACAGGAGACAGCAGAGAGTTGTGTGAAGACCATGTCACAGAAGCAAGTCACTTAGCTTCCACATAGCTCTTGTCTGAATCTCAGGACCTGGGCTGAGCACTGCCGTTCCCCTGGGCCTTCGTTCCTCCGTTCCATGGCCCCCACCAATCCTCTGGCCTGATTGTCCCAGCAGCAGGGATAGAGCTCTAATTTCCAAGGAAACACAGTCTCTAGGTAGGAAACCCACTCTTGTAGCCAAATCTTAAGTCCAGTCTAGCAGCTTTGGGCAGAGGGGTGCAGGCCAATGCTATGCTGCTTCTCCCCAGGAATGTTAGGGTATAACCATTCAATCTTCAAAATCTTAACAATTACATTTGTTTGTTTATTGTGCATGTGCCACGGCATGGGTGGAATTCAGGGGACAATCTGTGGAAGTTCTCTCCTTCCACCACGGGTTCTGGGGACAGAACTCAGGTTGTAAAGGATGGAATCTACCTCTAGGTGGAGACATGCCCTTGTCTCCTCCCTTAAGAGTTAGTCCAGTGGGACAGGGCAGGGACCAGGCCAGAATATCCCTATGATAGGCTAATTTTCTATTCAGTCCCTATGACCCCCCATCAAGCTTGGCTGGCTCTGCCTGCCTGCCTCTCTGAGTCCAGATGCAGAAGGACGGAACTATTCTCTTTTCTCTGTCCTTGCCTTTCTAACCTGGGCAAGAGCTTAACTATCCTTTTAAAGTGGTTAACTAATGCGGCTGGCGCTTTCCTTTTCCTAAAGCTCCCGCCCCTACTGCGTGACTGACCTCCACGCTCACCTCCATTCTCTCTCCATGCAGCTCTGAGATTCACAGCCCTGCCTGCCCTGGGGTTTGCCTTTTAAACTCTAATTAATAAACTGCCCTTGATCTTCTGTTTGAGTGTGTTCTTACTTCTTTTATTGATGAACCAAGAACCCCACGAGGAAACCCCGATTTCCCTAGCATTGTATGATAGCTTGGTTGGACTCCCCAAGATTTCTAGTAACATTTCTCTCTAACTCTTTACTAGGCAGAGGAAATGAACCCATTCCTACACCTGTACACAGCACACACTTCATCAAGCTTGGTGGCAAGCGGCAAGCACCTTTACCCTAGGAGCCATCTCACACCAGCACACATGCCACCTTTTTATTGTGCCCTTATTTCTAGAATGCTCTGCGTGTGTGTGGGTTCCTGTGGATCACTAGCTGATCAACATTTAAATCTGCTCGAGTCCTTCGCTTTAAAGAAGTCATTTCTGAGCTACACCACCGTTCAGCCACCAGCCTCCCGCCTCTTTCTATCACCCTGGCAGCCAGGCGTGCTTAGTGCCTCCCGCCTTCAAGCCACAGCTCCCGGGCCTTCTCTCCCCTTGACGAATGTCATAGTGGAACTTCCTCCCGGTTGGAACATTTCTTGGGGTAGGGGGCTCAGGAAACTCAGGAAGTAAACAAACTCCACACTCTGAGAAAGCTGAAATTTACAAGATTCACCAGACCCCTCCCTAAGAAGGAGGCCGCAAACAACTGCTGGCGGAGGAGACGGACCAGCCACGATGCCCAGGAAAGGTGTCAAGGAGAGGCCCACCTGTCTCGCTGCCTGAAAATGGTGCAGGGGCTTCGGGGTTGCAGCTGTTGTCACCTGTGTGAGGGGGCTTTCTGGTGAGTCATCCCTGCTCCTTGTCATCCCTCACCGTCATCCCTGTAAGTGATCCCAATAAGACTCACTGCTTCACCAAGGGGACTCTGGCGGATCATTACTTGGATCTGTCCTGGGTTCCCTAACTGCAGTGATAGGGAGAGTAGAGAAGTCTCACATGACTCCAGTGTTACTTCAGAAGTTTTCTGGAGCACGCTGAATGGAGGAGTCTGGGCTTCTAGCTCCTCCAGTCCTCAACTACTTCCCATATATATATATATATATATATATATATATTTTTTTTTTCTTTTTTTTCCTTTTATTGAAAATACATCCTTGGATAAAGAAAATGTGGCACATATACACAATGGAGTATTACTGAGCTGTAAAAAACAATGACATCATGAAATCTGCAGGCAAATGGATGGAACTAGAAAATATCATCCTGAGTGAGGTAACCCAGATTCAGAAAGACAAACATGGTATGTACTCACTCATATGTGGATACTATATGTAAAACAAAGGATAACCAGACTACAAGTCACAGCTCCAGAGAAGCTAGAAAATTAGGAGGACCTTATGAAGGATGCATGGATCACCTTGGGAAGGGGAAACAGATGAGCTTTATGAGTAAAACTGAGGATGGGGGGGGGAAAGAGGGGAGGAGATGGGGATGAGAACATGAGGGAACGAGATGGTCGAGCTGGGGGAGGGATAGAGTAGGAGAGCAATGAAAGATATCTTGATAGAGGGGGGCATTACGGGGTTAGGGAGAAACCTGGTGCTAAGGGAGTTCCTATGAATCCATAAGGGCAACCCCAACCAAATTAGACTACTAGCAATAGTGGAGAGGGTGCCTGAACTGGCCTACCGCAGTAATCAGATTGGTGAATACCCTTCCTGTCATCATAGAGCCTTCATCCAGTAACTGATGGAAGCAGATGCAGAGATCCACAGCCAAACCAGGCCGAGCTCCAGGAATCCAGTTGAAAAGAGGGAAGAAGGATTCTATGCGCAAGAGGGGGGAGGTTTCCAAGATCATGAACTCTACACAGACAACTGAACCAAGCTCTTAGGAACTCACAAACTTTAGACCTGTATGGGACTGGACTAGACCTCCTGCATACAGGAGACAGTTATATAGCTTGGTCTGTTTTGAGGGGCCCCTGGTAATGGGATCAGGATCTATCCTGGTGCATGGGCTGGTTTTTTGGAGCCCATTACCTATGGTGGGAAGCCTTGCTCAGATGCAGGGGGGAGTGCCTTGGTCCTGCCTCAACTGAATGTACCAGGCTTTGCTGACTCCCCATGGGAGAACTTACCCTTTTGGAGGAGGGGATGGGGGTGGTCATGGGGATAAGACTGGGGGGGAGCAGGAGGAGGGATGAGAGAGGGATCTGTGGTTGGTATGTAAAATGGATAAAAAATTTCTTAAATAAAAAAATAGATTCTTTTCTCAAATAATATATCCTGATTATAGTTCTTCCTCTGCTCCTCCCAGTTCCTCTCCATCTCCCCTCCCCTCCAGATCTTCTCCCTTTCTGTGTCTCATTAGAAAAGAATGGAATAACAAGCAAACATAACTAAATAAAATATAGTAAGATGAAGCAAAAACTATCATATCGAAGTTGGACATGGCAACCCACGCTGTCTGCTCAGGCTCTGTGAGCAGCCCTTGGCTCCTCTCACACCCCTCTCTCTTGTTCTTGCTTTACCTGCTCACTAGGGTTTAGTCCTGGGTCTTGCCCACATGTCCACAGCCTTAGTTAGCATCCACACACTGCACATACGTACATGTGCACATGAAGACCTAGAGTCGATGGCAGGAATCACCCTGTCATTCTTCCACCTTATTCATGGAGGCAGGGTGTCTCGATCACACCCAGAGCTCAGATAGGACCAGTCTTGCTAGCCAGCTTGCTCTGGGGCATCTGTGTCCCTCTGAGGTGTTATTTCAGGTGGGCTACTATGTCCACCTGAATTTACACGGCTTCCAAGGATCTGATCCCTGGTCTTCACACTTGTAAGGCAAGTACTTTTTAAACTGAGCTGACTTCCAACAAACCCATTCCCCACCCAGCTGGGAGTTTACTAATACTTTTCTTCACACTGCCCCTTGAATTCCTCCTCTTTGATGCCGGTTCCCAATGATTTCCACATGTACACACCTTTGGGTCAGACACTTGAGCGTCACCCTTGAACCCCAGCTCATCCAGTCATCACTAAATTCCAATAGCTACAGCACTTCACTTTCCCCTGCCAGCTCCATTCACAGATCCTGCTGCCTCTACCCAGGCCAGGCCCCCAGCAACCTACTGGCTTCTGTGAAGCCCTCTTCTAGTTCCGCCCCAGCCTCGCTTTAGCAGTGGTTTAAGTGGCATTGCCCACATAAACAGCCTGTTCTTTGGCACATACGGGCGGCTCTTGGTCGTCAAATAACCAGTTCCCAGAGGGCAGGCCATTCCCGTTCTTGTTCCTGGGGTCCCGACTCATGGCCGAGTAAGTAGCCAGTCAGGGTCTCCAAAACAGCAGCAGGGCCCAGATTGTATTAATTCTATGTATCTTTAAATATTTGCTCTTGGTCTTGCTGAAGGCTGAGAAGCCGTCTTTAAATTATTTGAAAGGTAGTCACGCATGGTGGTGCATATCTATAATCCCAGCACTTGGGAGATGGAGGCAGGATTATCAGAAGTTCAAGGCCAGCTGTGGCTACACATAGAGGTTGAGGCAGCTTGAGCTATAAGACTCCCTCTCAAAACACTAACATAAAAATCAGAATAGTGCTCTTGCATCAAGGACATACTTGACTCCTTTGAATTTAACCACATACCTCACAGAATAGTTAAGAGCCAGGAAGATGGGAATAACCCCTCACAGGCCCCTGAAGCCCCCTGGCCATTCCCTGCCAAAGCTTGGCTTTCCCCTTCCAAAGGCAGGGAAAGTGTCCCAAACTAATGTGGAACACAAGGCCGAGGGCCATTTGTGGGTTTGACTCTCCACGAGCCAGACATTGGCAATATAATGGGTTTAGGAATACAGTGTCAACTGTGGTTAGGTTTGCAGCTGGCTCTACAACCTCTCCGCTCCAGATGTGACATCACTCTCTCAGATCTCCAGTTACTAAGGAGACATGAACTTGATTCCTGCCTTGGGGATCTATGCCAAGCTTTGCCTTTGGAGAAAAAGCCTACTTGAAGCATTTTTTTTTTTTTTTTTTTTTAAAAAAGGTTTCTTTAAAAAAAAAAAAGGCCGGGCAGTGGTGGTGCACGCCTTTAATCCCAGCACTCAGGAGGCAGAGCCAGGTGGATCTC